ACCTGAGATTAGCGTGGAGTGCAGCAGTGCACTTTGGGTATGTGATGCTTTAGTACCTGCTGTATCCAGAGAGGGGAGATCTGGCGCAAGCAGGGAGTAGCTGCGGGTACACTCTTTAATTCATCAATGCGGTCAGTAACTATGAGCAACAACGATAATCCTTCATCCTCGAGGCGAATGACACCTTCTTCTCCTTCACGTTCTGTATGATAGTCTCATTGCACGAGGGTAAGGTCTTGTCCTCTTCACTCACAGGAGATCCCAATGATTGAACAAAGATCATATAAATCCGCAGCAGACAAAGTCATTAGATTTTCCTCAATCCTGTCCCATTGCATTCTCCCAACTCTCTGACATCTTCCGACTTGTAGTAGACTTAATTTGGTAAATGTTTTTAACCGAGCGTACAGGTAAACAGCTTCAGTCTCAGTGAAGTGCGTGATGCGTTGGCCTGCAGCTGGTGGCTTGTGCGTAAAACTCCCCACTCTGCTCTTTTCCACAACAGCGTCGTTCCCATGCGATCTCCAAACCGAGCAGAAACACCAAGATTCGTGTTGCACTCTTAAATGGACCAGAACAATACAAGAATAGTCCGTTTACACGTTTATTGCCACGGTTCCGAGTCGACGTGGTAAGGCACGCAGGGTGACAACATCATGATCGCACCCGTCAAACACTCACTAGTTCGCGGCGGGCGTGGTTGACCTACATTTGCAGTCTAGCCCCTCAATTGATAAATACGTGCATTTATTAATATCAATCAATCAATCAAGTTTATTTGGTAGAGCCGCCTTTCATACCACAAGGGCAAAACACAAATGCGCTTCACAGTCCACATCACAAATCTCACATAAAACAAACACCAGAATCACAATTTAAAACATTAAAATCTCACAAAAGATTAAAACACACTTAACAACATTAAATCACACAAAGGAATAAAACCATTAAAACTTTCAAAATTACACTAAGAATTTAAAAAAAAATAAATAATGACAGCAGTGCCATTAAAAATGGAGATAGATAAAATCTTCAGTTATAGGAAACAGGCAAACAGAAAAGTCTTGTAACAGGATTTGAACATTGTCAGAGTTGACGCCCTCCCTCACATTTCCGGGAGATTGTTCCAGATCTTAGCTGCATGGATCTGAACGCAGCCTGCCCCATGTTTGGTTCTCACTCTGGGCACCCAGCAGGAGGCCAGCCCTGTGCTCCTCAGAAGTCGGGCCCGTTTATTTGGACACCAACATGGTCACTAATGTATCTGGTGCAAAGGCCATGGAGTGAAGACTTGTTACACAAGCCGACGCCGTTTTAAAATCTATTCTTTGAGCCACAGGAAGCCGGAGCAGAGACCTGAGGACCGGACTAAGATGGTCATACTTCCTGGTTCCTGTCAGGACTCTCGCTGCTGCATTTTGGATAGTAATGCAGCTGCTTACAGGGTTGTTGGACAGACCGTAATCAGGCCAGTTGCGTGTTAGCCTGCTGGAGACAAAATGCATGGACAAGAATCTCCAAAGTCTGCCCTGGACACTATATTTCTAACTTTGGCAATGTCTTCAGATGGTAAAAGCAGTTTGTTTTATTGATTTTATGTGGCTATGAAATTTAGGTCTGCGATCAGTATTACCCCCAAAATTTCTGACTTGTCTGAAGGAAGTAGGGAGGAGAGACTGAAGTTGACAAAGACGCCCTCTCTTTGTTTCTGGGCGACCAAAGAACAATGATTTTTCGGTTTATTCTGCATTTAGCGGGAGGACATTTATTTTGCAATCCAGTCACATGATCTGTTGGATACAGTGAAGGAGCAAAATCCAGTGGTCCATGTTTCTCCTGCAGTCAGTGGAGACATAGATTGAGTGTCGTCAGCGTAAATTGTGGTAGGAGACTTTGTTTCTTTGTATTAACTGACCTAACGGCAGCATGTGAGATTAAATAGGAGAGGGCTCCCAGGATCGACCCTGTGGGTACCAACCACAGGTCAGGGCACATCATCTGTGACGCAGTCTCCAATCTCCACAGAGTTACTCTATCCTCCAGGTAAGACCTAATCCAGTTCTACGGCTGTGCCCAGTGGACACCAGCCCAGTCCTCCAGTTCTGCATGAGGATCTCATGGTCGGACAGTGTTCGAACGCGGGGCACTAAGATCTAACATGACCAAAAACTGTGACCTTTACCTGCATCAGTGTGGAAGGCTCGCAATGTTCGTTGTTACCGTCGACTAGAGCGGCGTGTCACATATGCTGTGGTGGGGTCTTAAACCCAGAACTGGAACTTATCAAAAGACTAATTCATTGTTAAAAAATTCAGGAAGTTGTTGGGAAGGCCACTTTTTCAAAGAATTTTTCCAATAAATGTGCAGATTCGTATGGGGCGGATAATTTTGATGTCAAGCAGGATCCAGACTGCTCCTTTTTTAGGAGAGGTCTTATGACCTGCTGTTTTTAGCGCCATAGGAAATGTTCTGACGACAGAGACATGTTTTATATATTGTGTCAGTGAATGGTAACAAACTGCTCAGGACGGACATTCAGAAATTTAGAGGGCAATATATCCATGCTACATGAGGGAGGAGCTCCAGGACTCATGATTATTCTTTTTGGACAGTTTCAGTATCCACAGGTGCGAAGTGAGTTTAGCTCAAAAAAGCTTTTCTAGGCTGTTGCATTGTTTACGTGCTGTGGAGGTGATAGTGTTTTTGATTCCTTGTACTTTGTCATCGAAAACTGTGGCGAACTCATTTACACCTAGATTAGAGGAAAAAATTATGAGGGGCAACTTTACAGGGTGGGTTCGTTTTAATCTACCAAAGTTGAAAAACATAACACGAAAATTGTTACTGCAACCTCCACTAATGTCAGGATAAAAATACATTTCCTTCTTGTTCTACGTAGAACCCGGTTAAATTCACCCAACTCTTTCTTTAAAGATTTCATAATCGCCCTGGAAATTGGACTTTAGCCAATTTACGTTCGTCCCTCCGGCACTCTTGCTTCTGTGCCCTAACCGAGTCTGCCTTAGTCCATGGGGCCTTTTCTTACTGGTAACTATTGTTATCCGTCCGGAGCAATGGGCGTCCAGAACAGTCAGAACCCACTGTTGGTGACAGAGTTTACCCAATTCATCAACAGAAGAGCATGGAGTCTCAAAATTTAGCATTCCCATGAACAGTTCACTTGTGTTTCATGTATGTGGTCTTCTTCTAAAAGTTGTAACTTCAGCTGGTGGTTTTCTAGCAAAACAATGTCAAAAAATACACAGATATGATCTGACAAAAGCAACATCCAATCTACATTAACTTTTGATACATTAAACCCCCCTTTGTAATTAGCAGGTTCAAGAGGTGTGCCCCCCTGCTGTGGGTGGGGCCACTCACGTGCTGAAATGAAAACAAAGGTTCAAATACACAGAAGCCAGCTCCTTTGCATTTCAGTCATCACATTATCAACTTGTACATTAAAATCACTGTAATAACTAAACTATCAAAATCTGTGCACACGAATGAAATGTAGTTCAATAAAATGGACAATAAAATCGCAACATGACTGTGGTGGCCTGTACCGGACAATGAAAAAGTAGAAGATTGCTTTTGTTCCATTTTAAAAGAAATATACTCAAACGATGAAAAAAATTTCAAGGGGCATTCTATGGGAGACAAAGTGCTCTCAATAAAAACTGCAGAGCTATGCCTCACCCCTTTGTTTTCTCGTTATTTCGGATTCGAATTTACCACCCCCCACCCCCCCCCCCCCCCCCTCCCCCCCCCTCCCCCCCACCCCCCGCCCCCCCCACAAACACACAAGGGTGGTTGTTGTTCTATTTAGAACTGCATTTCCTGTATTTTGGTCGAGCCCATGTTTCAGCCTTTAAGCATAAAATCAAGATCGATAAGAAGTGATAATAATTATAATTAAAATGATTTGTTACATAGAGATCTGACTTAGCTAGCCAAGTTTAAAAATAAGTCAGAGTCGATTAATTGTGGTTGATTGATTTCTACAAGGGAACAGATAATAGATTTGCAGAGTTGGGATCCTGTCTAATGCTGTCCTGGTTTTGATTTCGTTTTTTTAGAATTTAAAAACTTTTTTGAGCTGGTGCGAGGAACACCCCCCCCCACACAAGTCGCAATTGGCCCTAAAATGTGGAAAACCCCTTGTTGTTGTTCTTCTTAGCTCCCATGAGTCAGAAGGGAGTCAGCACTAGTTCAGTGTTTGGACTGGTAATGCACTGCCGACGGACAGGGGCAGTGTTTGCCACCGTTTGTTCTACCACGGTGATGGTGAGCATGGAGGGGGGGGAGTGCGGAGGGGGGTGGGGTCCGTGGGGGCTCAGATGTAAACAGTCAAGCCCCACCGGGGGAACGTCTGAACAACAAAACGTATGTAATCCATCAACAGGCTGCTTACCGTATCTGTTTGGGTGTAAATCGTGTTTCTGGACGATAGGCTTTCGTAACGTTTCCAGTAAAGGCAAAGGTTTATTCACAAAGACAAGTTTAAAAAGAGCTGCATGTAGCATGATAGCCACACATGCAGCGGCCACAACACGAACTGTAGAGGCAGTCACCTACTGTTTACAGTTGGATTGGACCCAGAAAATAAAAACAGATAGTCCGGATGGGATTGAATGGAGGTGGAAACAGATCATAAAATGTTTCTTAGTGACTTCTGACTGCTGAAGTTTCATGTGTTTATTCCCACATTGCACGACTACTTGGGAAACGGTAATCAGGCAGGGACTGAAGCAGAGGAGGGAGCGGATGAGCAGGGTCTAGGTACAGATAGCTCCGGGAATACAGCGAGTGACCGCCGTTAAGAAGCGGACGTGTCTCACGATGGAGATCTCCATTAATCAGACGTGTCGGGGCGAGAGAGGCCTCGGAGAAGGAGCTCGGTGGACGGAACCAGCGGTCTCACCCGAAGCAGGACCCGAGCCTGAGCGCCGCTCTGAACACATTGGGAGAGGGAGGAGGGAAGTTGGTGCTGACTTCAGCTACAGGCGACCACGCTGTGTGTCGGGGGACGCTGGAGCGGTGACGAGGGGCTGGCTCTGGGCGCTGTGCTGACCGGTGGAGGTGAGCGGTAGGTGATGAGGCTCGCTACCCCAGTACTGAGGCTGCTGCACTGGGGACAAAGAAGGGGGAACAGGCCAACATGGGTGGTGGACGCCTCTTTCGCATGAGGACCTGCTTCCTTTAGGAGCGTTTTCCTCGCAGTTGGGACTGGATCATCGCAGCAGTAGGTACGCTTGCCAGTGTCCAGGGATTCTGCTGAGGGGGCCGTGATGTCGGTTGGAGTGGGCTGCATAGCGGTTTGCCAGAGCAGGACAAGGGCCACGGCGCAGGATGGCTCCTCGGAATCCGCGGGCTCGTTTATCGGAAAGGGGCGCTTAGGTGTAGAACAGGGAGGGTTTTCCGGAAGCTGACGGATCTCTCCCACACGACAGTGTGGTCACAATATGCAGCGCTCAGTGCATCAGCCGTGAGTGCTGCCCACCAGCGACTTCAAAAAGTTTGGACATAGAGATGTTTCTCATTCAATCTCTGCGGGTGAGACGAGGACTTTCTTTTCGTAGATCTGCAATGGTGGAAAACGCGTCGCTCTCACGGAGCTCCAAGGTGATGGGCGACTATATTGTGAATATATGAGCAAATTTCCATTGTCACTTCCATGTCCTCGATGAGCTTGTGTTAGCCTCTGTGATATAGTGGGTTTCAGTCGGGACAAAGTGCTATTTGCTGAAACATGAATTAAAAAGATAAAACATCAGTTATATTAAAAAAAACTGAACAATAAAAACGCGTAAAAACGTTGTTAAAAGTTTACCTAAAAAAGGTGCAAAGAGCAGCCCTGCCGATACTGCTTCATTGACACACCTGCGTTGATGAGTGTGTGAGTGTGTGCGAGTCATAATATGGCCACTAGTGAAAATAAGTACTGTAACTGTTGTTGTATTAACATCCAGTAGGAACATTTTATTTTGACCACTTCTGTCTCAACCGGAAGTCGAGTGGCTCGGCAAATCAGACGGAAAAACTTACAAGTGTTATGGACGTTTCACACAGCTGGTCTTGACAAACGGTCATTAAGAAACTGCACTAAGTATGGCATAAAAGACAACAGACCAAAGTTTAGACTTACTGTTGAGATAGAAGGAAACAAAGGTATGGTGGATTTTTATTTGTGTAACAATTGTAAAGTTTCTTTTAAATGTGTAAAATTTAATAGCAAAAGTAATGTACCGGTTAACAATGTATTTGATGCTAGATAGTATTGGAAATGATTGTAAATTGAATTTTCAGTTACTGAGTAGTTCAAAGTGCAAAATAGAAAATGTTTGATCCAAACAAAGTCTTGAAGAAGGCAAAATTGCATTGACAACAAACCAGACACTTCCTCATCTAATTCTAATCTATTCAGCATGTATCTGATTCATGTATAAATAATAGTTTTCTTTTACTGATATAGCTACACTTTTAAAAATAAAAAAGTAATATAATTTTGAATTACCGTAAAGGTACCACTACTATAAAGTCATCAGTAATGTAAACTTTTATGTGTAAACTCTGGTCCATGATCATCTCCTACATGTACGTCTGGTCTTACCATGTGTAAACTCTGGACCATGGAGAATGTGATAGTAAAATAATCTGTTCTGGTTCAATCCTAATATCAAGAAACTGAAGCCGGAGCAAGAGGAATGTTTAGTAAATGTCACTGAAGCAAAGATGTTGTGGCTCTACTCCTCACGGGCTCCGTTAGCGGCAAAGGAGATGGCTAAAGCTAGGCTACATGCTAAAGCTAGGCTAAAATGCTAAAGCTAGGCTACATGCTAAATGCCTCACTCACTCGGGCTCATTACATACGTCACAGTAAACTCAGATCCAATGGTTTCAATCTGCAAAAGGAGTTAGCCCCTCCCACCTGTTAACGGAGTCAATGGAGCAACTCTAGACCAGAACCTAATGAAATGAGTACAATGGTGTGATAAGACCAGTCGACAAATTATTGAACAGACATTTAACAGGAAAATTCTTTATGGGGAAATGCCATTGTGTTCCCTAACCTCACCTTTCCACATTCGGATCACGATGCCTCTGGCCAGGTCCAACAGAGTAACACGACCAAAGTCATCAGTCACTCCAGCCAAAGTGTTGCAAGGGGAGAGACAGATGGACTCCCCGTGGCGGCGAGAGTCTGGGAGCCCAAATCTAACAGGTCATAATAATAGTTCAGTTTTGTCCTTTTTTACAAGTTTTGACAAAGTAGTATGCATTTATGGGGAAACCTTGCCTGATTGGAAGTGCTGTTGCAGGCTCTACTTTTGGTTTTTGCTTCTGGGTAGCTTCTTCCTCCGGTTTGTTTTTGCTCTTATTCCAGCCTAACCACCCACTGCAGTAATGTAGAGGAAGGACAGTAAGGCCAATGATGCTTAAAATACTGATGATTTGTTTAAAAAAAGATAAAAAGGTTACCTGGCTGCATTAAAGAGCGCTGATGTGAGTTTACTGGCCACAGCCATAGCCACATGAGACAGAAGAGGCTGAGAGTTTCCCTACGGACACAAGTAGAACATGCAACATTAGTCCGTTCAATGATGTTTTTGTATAGAATGTATAGCATTGGGTAAATATGATAATATAATTTACTTCTACAGCATAGAAGAAGCCGGTGTATGGTCCACTCCCCACGGTCACGTACTGAGACATGGCTGGAGGGCTGCCTTTAATGGAAGCATTGAAGCCTCCGAGAGTAGAGGCATTCTTCATTTGGTCAAAAACAGACGTCGCCAGCACACCTGGAAACAGACACGTTCACACTGGTAACAGTCACAACACGGCAAACAGAACATCCATCCATTTTCTTCCGCTTCATCCGTTGCCGGGTCGCGGAGTGAGCAGTCTAAGCAGAGACGTCCAGACTTCCCTCTTCACACACACTTCCTTCAGCTCGTCCGGTACAGAGTCCCGAGCCACCTCAACTGGCTCCTCTCGACGTGGAGAAGCAGCGGCAGTGACTGAGCCCCTCTAACTCTAAGGGAGCAGAGGCTCTACTCCAAGCTCCTCCCGTGTGACTGAGCTCCTCTACAGTGTATCTCTAAGGGAGCAGCCACTCTGCGGAGGAAGCTCATTTCAACGCTCGTATCTGCGATCTCGTTCTTTCGATCATTACCCAAAGCTTATGACCAGAAGTGAGAGAGCTCTGACTGCAGACGCTGCTCCTTCATGACCAGAGGTGAGGAGGGAACAAAGATTGACCGGTAAATCGAGAGCTTTGCCTTTCGGCTCAGCTCCCTCTGTACAACAAAGCTCCAATACAGCTCTGACTGCAGACGCTGCTCCCTCTTTACCACGGCGGTCTGATAGAGCTCTGACTGCAGACGCTGCTCCCTCTTTACCACGACGGTCCGATACAGAGACCGCATTACTGCGCACGCTGCACCGATCCGCCTGTCAATCTCACGCTCCATCCTTCCCTCACTCGTGAACAAGACCCCGAGATACTTGAACTCCTCCACTTGAGGAAGGACCTCTCCATTCGAACATGAACTATTCCGATGAGAAATCAAAGCTGTGTTTGTTATCACTCACCAACACTGCAATGATCCACGATGCTGTCCATTTCCTGCAGACCCCATTTCTTATAAGCCAGAGGAGGGGGCTGAATAACATCATTTCCAGCAGCTGTAGCTAAATAAAAATGAGACGAGGATTTAAATGAAGGCTAAGTGTAAAAGGTTATCTAGAATATCTACAGCTAATGTATATATCAACTCCAAAGCTAGAGATTGGCCTCTACGATGTTTGAACTCGATATCAGCGTTGCTATAGTTATCAGCTATCAATGACTACAAGACGCAACAGACAAATGCATTTAAATACCTGTATGTTTTTCTGCAATCTCTATCCATACATCATGCAAATAAACATAACACATGTTTAAACACCGCACTGGGGCCTGTATTTCCACATGCGCACTTTACCAACACAGATACAGTGCTCAACAACTTTACCTCTCGCCACCTGGTTCCTGCAAGCTCTGAGCGACTGGAAAAGACTGAAGCCGTCGATGGTGACAAGAGATGTAGGGTAGAGAATACTCAGCTCCTCGTGCTGAGACAGAATCAACAGTTCTAGTGAGAGGAGAGCAGACTGGACTGACTCTGGACTGACTCTGGACTGACTCTGGACTGACTCTGGACTGACTCTGGACTGACTCTGGACTGACTCTGGACTGACTCTGGACTGACTCTGGACTGACTCTGGACTGACTCTGGACTGACTCTGGACTGACTCTGGACTGACTCTGGACTGACACCGGACTGACACCGGACTGACTCCGGACTGACTCCGGACTGACTCCGGACTGACTCCGGACTGACTCCGGACTGACTCCGGACTGACTCCGGACTGACTCCGGACTGACTCCGGACTGACTCCGGACTGACTCCGGACTGACTCCGGACTGACTCCGGACTGACTCCGGACTGACTCCGGACTGACTCCGGACTGACTCCGGACTGACTCCGGACTGACTCCGGACTGACTCCGGACTGACTCCGGACTGACTCCGGACTGACTCCGGACTGACTCCGGACTGACTCCGGACTGACTCCGGACTGACTCCGGACTGACTCCGGACTGACTCCGGACTGACTCCGGACTGACTCCGGACTGACTCCGGACTGACTCCGGACTGACACCGGACTGACACCGGACTGACTCTGGACTGACTCTGGACTGACTCTGGACTGACTCTGGACTGACTCTGGACTGACTCTGGACTGACTCTGGACTGACTCTGGACTGACTCTGGACTGACTCTGGACTGACTCTGGACTGACTCTGGACTGACTCTGGACTGACTCTGGACTGACTCTGGACTGACTCTGGACTGACTCTGGACTGACTCTGGACTGACCTGCTCGGTTACTCCGGGATGACGGGGAATCTCATAAGTGCGACACTTTAGCCGTAAAGCAGGGTCCTCGTGGAGCAGCTGAGCCAGTAGCAGAACACCGTGCTGAAAGATTTTGGTTTTGAAATGTATGAGACAAACACGGTAGTCGGAACGTACAAGATGATTTATGTACCTCAGTGTAGAAGCGGATATAGCCAGAGGAGAAGCCCACAACCACACATGTCCAATCAGGGCGCCCAGTGGAACTTCTAAATAACAAAGAACTTATTCAATATTTAACTCTAAATCTATACAAAAAAATATATGTATTACTATATATACGCTCCCTTCCGGCTAGCAAAGGAAGGGAGCGATAGAGCCGGTGACCACCTCGTCTCCGTGGGACAGTTGAACATCAGGTCTCTCAGTAACAAGGGCTATCTTGTTCGCGATCTCCTCACGGACCACAAACTTGATTTTCTTTGTCTGTCTGAGACATGGCAACGTCCTAACGAGTACGCTGAGCTCAACGCTACAACACCACATGGGTTTGTTTACGTCTGTCAAGCCCGTGCCTCTGGACGCGGCGGTGGTCTCGCGATAGTGTACAACGAGAGGTACAGAGCAACTGCAGTCACTACACCGGTCTATAGCTCATTTGAATCACTTGTCATACAGATCAAAGGCCGCATTCCCACAATCCTAGCTGCTGTCTATCGTCCCCCCAAGCCTAATCCCGAGTTTTTTAACTGATTTTACAGATTTTTTAGCCACAGTCTGCTCTCTGTCCTCAAATGTAATTTTGGTTGGTGACTTCAATATTCATATGGACAATGTAAACAATACAACTACCAAAGATTTTTCTTCCTGTCTAGACAGTTTTTCATTATCTCAACACGTAAACTCTCCCACACATGTAAAAGGCCATATTCTGGATCTGATTTGCTGCACTGGCATCTCCCCCATTAACATCTCTTTTCTGGACATTCTGGTCTCTGACCACAAGCTTATTTCATTTGGTCTCAACCTGCCACTGTTCAAAACATCTTCTACCCGTCAGATCACATTCAGAAATATAAAAAACATTAATCTCTCATCACTTACCACAGAACTAAATAATCTCCCAAGCCGAGATAACATGGTCACTCCACAGGAACTCACTTCATTTTATAATAATGAACTCCATCAAATTCTGGACTCCTTAGCACCATTAAAAACAAGAACTGTATCCTTCTCCCTCTCTTCGCCATGGTTTACTCAAGAGCTGCATGAACTGAAATCTATTGGTCGCCGTCTTGAGCGTCTATATCGTAAAACTGGACTGTCAATACATAAGGAAATGTATCACTCCCATCTAATCACTTACAAGAACACTATTGCCAATACTAAGTCTAACTACCTTGCATCAATTATAAATACCAATTCAGGCAACTCCAGAGCACTCTTCTCTTCTATGCGCAACATTCTACATCCACCTGACGCATCCACTGCCACCACACACTCACCCGCTCTTTGCAATAAATTCTTGGACTTTTTCAATTCTAAAATAATTAATATCCATCAACAACTCTCTTCATGTGATCCATCCGTTTGCACTCACTGCTCATCCCTATTCCTGACCAATCCCTCAACTCTCTCCACGTTCCAACTTCCAACTGTGCCGGAAATACACTCTCTGATATCCAAATCGAAATCTTCTACCTGCATACTTGATCCCCTGCCAACTAATCTTGTGAAATCCTGTCTTCCATCGCTCTCTCCCCTCATTACCAACATCATTTATGCATCCCTCACCACTGGTTCTGTTCCACCTATTCTCAAAACAGCAGTTATAACGCCAATTCCCAAAAAAGCTGGCTCAGATCAGACCGATTTCAACAATTTTAGACCAATATCCAACCTCCCGTTCATTAGCAAGATTTTGGAAAAGTCAGTTGCCTCACAGATCCAAAACCATCTCGCAAACAATAATCTTTATGAAAAATTCCAATCCGGATTTCGTTCATCCCATAGCACTGAAACAGCACTCATCAAAATAACAAATGACCTTCTTTTAGCAGCAGACTCTGGACTCCTCACCATACTCATTCTCCTGGATCTCACAGCTGCTTTTGACACAATCTCACATCCAATCCTCCTCAACCGGCTCACCTCCATTGGCTTATGCAATACAGTACACTCATGGTTCACCTCATACCTTTCTGACCGTTCTCAATTTGTCCAACTCCAAAATCATAAATCGAAACTCTCCACTGTCACGGGCGGTGTGCCCCAGGGCTCTGTCCTGGGGCCATTGCTTTTTATTATCTACCTCCTCCCTCTCGGCAATATATTCAGAAAATACAACATTAACTTCCACTGTTACGCGGATGACACCCAGCTCTACCTCTCCTCCAAGCCCACGATCACTCTCCCCCCTTCAGCCCTCTCTGATTGTCTTAATGACATTAAAATCTGGTTTTCCCACAATTTCCTCAAACTCAACTGTAATAAAACAGAATTCCTCCTTGTGGGATCCAAACATACACTCACTAAATCCAATAATCTTTCCATCACTGTTGATAACTGCACCATCCCCCCTTCCCCTCAGGTTAAGAGTCTGGGTGTCATCCTCGACAGCACCCTTTCCTTCACAGCACACATAAACAACATCACCCGGTCCGCCTACTTCCATCTCCGCAACATCAACCGTCTACGTCCGTCTCTCACCCCTAACAGCACAGCTACACTGGTTCATGCCCTGGTCACATCCCGTCTTGATTATTGCAACTCACTCCTTTATGGTTTACCAAACAAATCCCTCCATAAACTTCAAATGGTCCAGAACACAGCAGCACGCATCATCACCAAAACTCCTTCTGCCCAGCACATCACTCCTATTCTCAAACAGCTTCATTGGTTACCTATTCTCTCCCGTATTGAATACAAAATTCTTCTTCTCACCTTCAAAGCACTTCATAACCTCGCACCTCCATACTTGTCTGATCTCCTTCAGACGTACACACCCTCCCGCCCACTCCGCCTCTCTACTCTCTGTCCCTCCAGCCAAAATGTCCACCATGGGCCTCAGAGCCTTCAGCCGCTCTGCCCCCAAACTCTGGAATAATCTGTCACAAGACACTCGTGCAATAGACTCCATCACCACATTTAAATCTCGACTCAAAACTGAGCTATTCAGACGCACCTATCCCACATAATCCTCCGTACTTCTCTTATCTCTTTGCCACTCTACTGTATTTTACTTCTGGGCCTCGTATTGTATCTTTTGTATTTTAATGTGTGTTGTATATTGTTTTTATGCTGCCTGTAAGGTGACCTTGGGAATTTTGAAAGGCGCCCACAAATAAAATGTATTATTATTATTATTATTATTAAAAATACTTAAAAAAAACTTAAATGACAAAAAAAAGAGGTGTACCCTTTGCAGCTAGGGGAGGACTATGATCCTGACATGATTTGGAGTCAATAGGTCACATGACCTGGAAGCTATTGAGCTAAAATGCTAATATTTACATATAAAAAATCATTAAAAATACTTAAAACATTTTAATGATAAAAGAAGAGGTGTACCCCCTACAGCTAGGGGAGAAATATGATCCTGACCGGATTTGGAGTCAATAGATCACATGACCTGGAAGCTATAGAGCTAAAATTCTATTTTATTACATATAAAAATTCATTAAAAATACTTAAAAAAAACTTAAATGACAAAAAAAAGAGGTGTACCCCCTACAGCTAGGGGAGGACTATGATCCTGACCTGATTTGGAGTCAATAGGTCACATGACCTGGAAGCTATTGAGCTAAAATGCTAATATTAGCCTTTAAAAATTCATTAAAAATACTTAAACGACAAAAAAAGAGGTGTACCCCTTGCAGCTAGTGGAGGATTATGATACTAAACTGATTTGGAGTCAATAGATCACTTGACACAAGAGGTGTCAAGTGTCACAGGGCGACAGTAGCTCAGTTGGTAGAGCACTGGCCTTCAGGCCTAAAGGTCGTGGGTTCAATTCCCACCTCTCACCGACTCCCACTGATGACTGCTGTCGTTGTGTCCTTGGGCAAGACACTTAACCCCACTTTGCCCAAAGCCCCCACTGAAAGATCAAGGCTATGCTCACACTCAGAGAGCATAGCCGTCCTCCTGTGGACTCACCACCTGCAGAGGGTCAGTGAGGGGCTGGTGCTATGAGACTTGGGTGGCATCTCTGATTGCCACCCCCCTGACCCATAAATGGATTAAAGGGTAGAAAATGGATAGATGGATGGATAGATCACTTGACTTGGAAATATTTACATGTTAAATAAATATTTAGAGATTGAAAATGAAAAAAGTACTTGTACTATGCAGCTAGTGGAGTAACATGATGCAACACTAGTAGGGCTACCATGAGATGACTTTATTTTTTTATCATGAAAATATATTGAACATAGCCCTGTCCCTTGTTTCTCTTCTTCACTGGCATAACACACATGCCCAGCTCTTTTCCATTGCATCCTCCAAGTCCTTGCTTTCCAACGACACACAAGAATCATGGAACCACCTGTCACAGTCATCACACTGTATCTGTTCAATTGAAAACAAAAATAAGTAGTAGTTTTTTTTCAGTTGTCATAAAAGAAATCGTATTTGTACAATGGAGCTGAAGGGTCATCTAATTTTCTTTTATTTTCAGAGGCTATGAGAGTAAAGTCAGAATATTACAATATTACAAGATTAATCAAAATCGAAATATTATGAGATTAATCTCAAAATATTATGTGGTCCGGTTCGGAGACCACAGCCATGGGTTCTGGTTAGGAGGCCACAGCCAGGGACCGGAAGGGGTCTGGTTCGGGGACCACAGGATTTCATCTCTGCTGTTTGCGGACAATGTTAAGTAAGTAAAATAAGTAAGTAATCTTTATTTATATACCGCCTTTCACAGACCAGAGTCAAAAAGCGGTTTACAAACATGTTGTCCTGTTGGCTTCAACAAACCAGGACGTGCAACATGCACAGGGACGGTTTGCAACCAAGTGTGAAGCGGCTGGGATGAGAATCAGCACCTCAAAATCTGAGGCCATGGTGCTCGACCGGAAAAAGGTGCATTGCCCTCTCCAGGTGGGTGGGGAGGTCCTTCATTTTGTTTGTTTTTAAAGCTTTGAATGGACTGGCCCCTCCTTACATCTCGGACCTCATCCAAATTCACCACCCGCCCCGCGCGCTGAGGTCCGAGGGCCGGCTCCAGCTCGTGGTACCTAAGACCAGACTTAAAACCCCGGGGGACAGGGCCTTCTCTGTGGCTGGACCAAAGCTGTGGAACGCCCTGCCCCCCCACGTCAAAACAGCTCCCTCGTTGGAATGTCTGATGAAGGGGAAGAAAATTGATGGATGGATAATGTCAAATTATTATGAAATCCATTTCGAAATATTATGAGTGCCTGGGCCCCAAAAGAGACCTGCTTGCGACCCTGGGGAGAGACTTGCGGAGCGCAGGAGAGAACTGCAGACAGAGCAGGTCCAGCCTCTGAGCACCTTGGTACTCGTAATGTTTTTAGCCTTTTGCGTCAGTATGTTTTTATTTAAAAAAACATATTATTCTACATTTACCTGTTTATTGAGGAGCAGAAGAGGATCCAGCACAAGGTCCAGTGGAGTATCAGGAGGGCCAAGAAGGACTTTGGGAAAAATCTGGAGCAGAAGCTGGCTCAGGGAAACGCCTGCGACATGTGGAGAGGACTAAAGAACATCTCCGGCTTTGGGCAGAGTGCCAGTGGGACAGCGGATGGAGACCAGCACCGGGCGGATGAATTTAACCAATATTTCAACCAGTTTGATTCTCCCCCCTCCCCATCTCCTTCCCCCACCTCTTCACACGTGCCTAGCCCAGTGGACACTGCCTTCGGCTGCCCCGGGCCGTCCTGCCCCCACACCCCCAGCCCCCACCTCTGACAGTACACCCCCCCCCCCCCCGCCCTCTCCATCACACCGGACCAGGTGAGGAGTCAGCTCCAGAGACTGACTCAGAGGAAATCCACAGGACCGGAAGGGATCAGTCCCAGGCTGCTGAGGACCTGTGCAGACCAGCTCTCTGAGGACCTCTCTGAGGTCCTCAGCTACATGTACAACCTGAGCCTCAGCCTGGAGAAGGTCCCTGTCCTGTGGGAGACCTCCTGTGTGATCCAGGTTCCTAAAACAGCGCACGCCAAGGAACCGGCTCACTACAGACCAGTCGCACTCACCTCCCACTGACCTCCCACCTGATGAAGACCATGGAGCGGCTCATCCTCACCCACCTCCGCTCTGTGGTCAGCCCCACCCTGGACCCGCTGCAGTTCGCCTACAGGCCCAACATCGGAGTAGAGGACGCCGTCATTTACTTACTGCAGCGGACGCTCTCCCACCTGGAGCCTGCAGGGAGCGCTGTGAGGGTCATGTTCTTCGACTTTTCCAGTGCTTTCAACACCATCAGACCGGCGCTGCTGCGGGGGAAGTTGGAGGACGCAAGAGTGGACAGTAGCCTCACTGCATGGACCATCAACTACCTCACTGCATGGACCATCGACTACCTCACTGCATGGACCATCAACTACCTCACTGCATGGACCATCGACTACCTCTCAGACCGACCACAGTACGTGCGGCTGCGCAGCTGTGAGTCTGAGGTGGTAGTCTGCAGCACTGGGGCCCCTCAGGGCACTGTCCTCTCACCGTTTCTCTTCACCATCTACACCTCAGACTTCACACACGACACACACAGCTGTCACCTGCAGAAGTTCTCCGACGACTCCGCCATCGTGGGCTGTGTGTCTGAGGGGAACGAACTGGAATATGGGTCGGTTATCAAGGACTTTGTCGACTGGTGTGAGTGCAACCACTTGTGCTTGAACACCAGTAAGACCAAGGAGATGGTACCTGTGCTAACACCAGTAAGACCAAGGAGATGGTACCTGTGCTAACACCAGTAAGACCAAGGAGATGGTAATCGACTTCAGGATAAAACCACTTTCCCACACGCTGCTGAACATCCAGGGGGAGGACATTGAGCTGGTGGACAGCTTCAAGTACCTGGGTGTTCACATAAACAATAAACTGGACTGGTCCCATACCACCAACGCTCTGCACAAGAAGGGCCAAAGTCGCCTCTTCCTTCTGAGGAGGCTGAGGTCCTTCTGAGGAGGCTGAGGTCCTTCGGAGTGAGCAGGCCTCTGCTCAGGACCTTTTATGACTCTGTGGTAGGCTCTGCCATACACTACGCTGCCGTGTGCTGGGCTGAGCACAGAACGGGACAGCCCCCTGGACTCTGGAGGAGGTGAGGGACAGGAGGGTGCTAGTCAAGCTCCTCCAGCAGACTGTTCCAGAGACGGGGCCGTAGTGATGGACGTAAAGCGCTTTGGGTGACCTTGGTCTGTAAAATGCGCTATATAAATAAACATTACTTACTCACTTACATATGCATCAGCTTGAGTGTGTGTCCTGGCTTTGGTAATGGAGGAGTCTGCTGCAAGAACCGGGATGGTTCTTTGGATAAAAGCAGTTATGAGTAATAAGAAGGCCCAAGACCATGAAGACATGAAAAAAACCAGTGAAAGAACCTAAAAATGGATCCTGAAACACACGGGAAGCCAGTGCAACAAATTTAAAACCGATAAATAAATAATAAAACTGTACTGTATTAAAAGTCAGGATCATATTCCTCCCCTAGCTGTAGGGGGTACACCTCTTCTTTTGTCATTTAAGTTTTTTAAAAGTATTTATGAATTTTTATATGTAAATATTAGCATTTTAGCTCAATAGCTTCCAGGTCATGTGATCAATTGACTCGAAATCAGGACAGGATCATAGTCCTCCCCTAGCTGTAGGGGGTACACCTCTTTTTGAGTCATTTAAGTATTTTAAAGTATTTTTAATGATTTTTTAAAGGCAAACATTAGCATTTTAGCTCAATAGCTTCCAGGTCATGTGATCAATTGACTCCAAATCAGGTCAGGATCATAGTCCTCCCCTAGCTGTAGGGGGTACACCTCTTCTTTTGTCATTTAAGTTTTTTAAAAGAATTTATGAATTTTTATATGTAAATATTAGCATTTTAGCTCAATAGCTTCCAGTTCATGTGACCTATTGACTCCAAATCAGGTCAGGATCATAGTCCTCCACTAGCTGCAGGGGGTACACCTCTTCTTTGATCATTAAAATGTTGTAAGTATTTTTAATGATTTTTTATATGTAAATATTAGACCAGCGTACATGTCTCTGCGTGTTTACCGTACTGTGTGTAGTAGGGGTGCACTTAAATGTTGCAGCGAATGTCTGTCGGATATCCAACTTCAAACTAACTTCACCGCGGTCAATGACCGCATGAAACATTTTGCTGTAGCCAAACAAACTGTCCACTTGATTTCTATGATATATATGTTCATCTGATTGGGCTGAAGTCAGTGCTTCACCGGTGTTTCCACATTCACAGTGGAGCGTGTTTAGTGCTTACAGCACAGAGAGAGATGAAGAGTGAACAGGACTTCAGCAGCAAAACAGACTTTTATAGATGGAAATATTGGCACTGTTAAAGGTAAAAATGTGCACGTCGGGTGCACATTATGTTCCAGAACAGAACGAAAAAAGTAACGCAATAGTTACTTTTACTGGTAACTAGTTACTTTTATAGTGGAGTAACTCCGTTAGTAACTCAGTTACTAGTTACTTCTCCCAAAAAGTAACTAGTAACTATAACTAATTACTTTTTCAAAGTAACGTGCCCAACACTGAAAATAACATACAACTAAGACGCCTGAATATATAATGTCACAATGGCCACAAATGAGAAGCAAAACTGTTTATTTCCATTTGCAGCAGGACGTGAATAAAACATGAAGATCAAGAGAACAATAAAATGGTGACAGAAATACTCCTTTCCTTCATATTGACGAGGTGAAAAGACACATTATGTTGCAAGCAGAATCTAAAAATGTAACAAGAGTAGAGAGAAGACCCATTTTGACCCATTTGAAGTCTATCAGCACAAAGGAGTTTTACATGGCAACGCAGCAGGCTAATTCGATATCTAGTCTACAGTGTAACAATTCCAGTGTTTGAGAATGGGTTGGTGTGGATGACCAATGGCGTAAGAATAACAAAAGCTAAAGAATAGTCAATATTTTAGAGGTCTAACAATGAGTCTTGTTCTTTGAAGCAAGATTCAAGAATTGAGGTAAATATCAGTTATTAAAATGTGTTTTGTACCTGGTGATAACAGTAACTATGATTAACGGAATAACTGAATGAAATCTTTCTTCATAGAATAAGCACCACCGAAAACTAATTTGCAAAAACACACACAGAATCAAAACAAAGGCCAAAAAAATAAATATATAAAGTATAAAACCCTGGGAAAACACTGTCCCCGATAAGTTGTTCCACCGTTCAGTGAAATATGAGAGGCACTGCTCCCGATAAATACACAATATTACATTCATACAACAAACATAAAAAATAAACACTGGTAGACAAAAACTACCATCACTGCATTTCATTATGGGAGACACTGCCCCCGATAATGGCTTCAAGTATGGAAGGCACTGCTCCCGATAACTTAACTGCACCAAAGTTTACGCTAATTACGCAACATATCGGTATTAAGTGCCATAAAGGGAGTTTTGGTAACTCATGGTAACATCTTACCTCGTTAGCCGTCTTTCACATCATAAATTGTAAATACATTAATTTTCTCTTTTTCCCACTTTTTAAACTAAATATCAACTTAACATTTTTTCTTTTTAAGAGATTTAACAGACAGATACTTGGCCGACATTTAAGTTTATTTGGCTTATCTTATGGACCATTTTAAGTAATTGCATGGCAAACACAAATGATTGTTCAATTGCAGAACTATTAATATTATCCCTTTCGGAGCCACAGCAGCGAGCTCCTGAATCTGGCTTCGTCCAAACAATTCAACATGTATTTATTTTATTTGTTGTAGTAGTCATCATCGGTTGAATTATATCAATTTTATCAAAAGGGTTAAGACTTAAATCAATTTATACCTTGATGTAATTGAGCCCGTTCAGCTGACATAGCCCGTTGTCAGAAAGACCATTCACAGAGTGTAGCAGATGCTGCCGTTAAATGCGACAGTATAACCGTCATAATTATGGAAGGCACTGCTTCCGATAATGTCAAAAAAGACCAATCTTTATAGCGGACACTGCCACTGATAAAGCAAACTTAAATATAAGGACTTTTAGTGCGTGGAGGCAAAGAGTTCACGAGGAAAGGCTCTGACTGGACATGCACTTAATCTCATAGCAATTCAATTAAGTTTATCAAATCAAAGGTTCATAATGTAATTTCAAGATTTCAAAACGACATTCTCAAAGGTGCATTGTGTCACTTTTCTAGTGAGGGGACTCTCATTGCTTTTCAAGATGTTTCAGTTTAGGAGTTAGTATCTCCAGGGAAACCCAGGCAATGTCACTGGTCATATCTGTGGTAACAATTGAGCACTGTGGAACATTCCACATAAGTGATAACATATCTTTGGAGACACATTCTCACCAGAAAAGTGGCACAATACATTTTAAACTTATTCATTTGTTTTTTTCTGCCATTCTTAAAGACCTGAAAAGCTTGTAGCAGGTGCCCTTTGCGTCCGAACACATTCACATTAGATTTCATTGTCGATGTCCCACAGATTGCCGGCCATGGAGTTAGCACAGCCCTGCAGGTTCCAAGTAGCCAGGGCCAGCTGGAGTCGCAGTTGTAGCTCGTTGTCCAACTCTGCGATCTCGTTCAAAGTGAAAGGACCCTTTCCGAACACCAGGTGCCGGAAGGGGAACTCATAAGGAGAGACGTACTGAGAGAGGAGGCCGTGTTCGACCTATGTTGAGGAGGGGAAAAGAATTAACTTTTAGTAAGTTAAAGCTCTGGTACCCAACTTCTTTCCCCGCAAATTATACATTGTTTGTCCAATCAGAAGTATAGCCGCAACTTTACATACTACAGTGCACTTTTAGGAAAGAGCCCCATGAGTCACAGCTCTAGGTACACAGCGCAATTTTTTGTGTGGAAATGTAAAGCTAAAAAAAGTGACCGGAAAATAAGGCCAAAATATCATGCATGTGAAAACTAGTGAGAAAATCAAACTGTTTTAGGAACAAATTACATTAATTGAATTACTTTTTTAAAGTTTGAAGGTTAGGAATCCCAGGTTCCTAATTATCAAAAAAAATTGTTTAAAGTGAATGTCATTCTTCCGGAAAAAGCTTGGAGCCAAACATTGTGCCTAGAAAATAATTTAATTTGGTGGATTTGTGGGCCACTTTAAAGCAAGCTGAGCTTGTTGGGGAATATTAAAATATAAACAAGGTTTTACAATTTAATACAAGTGTGCGGCAAGTGTTTATGCTTTTTTTTTTTTTAAATAGTACATTGAAAAGTCAATATTGTCAAGAGTCCTGTCAACCTATATTGATAAAAATTCGTTGGTACCTGGTGACATAGTCTACCGAGCCACAAACAATATCAAATTGTTATTAACTTTTTGCCAGTTACCTGAGCAGTTGTAAAGAAGCGCTCTGTATTTGCATGACAACAATATGCAACTCCGCAGTATGCATCATACCATAGTATATAGTATAGTATATGTTGTCATGGTAATTAATCTCTCCCATTCCTTGAGCACCAGAAGATTTCCTGATATTCGTTTAGTTAAACCAGTGTCACCTTCATGATGCGGCCGTTGAGCAGCCTGCAGGCCTCGGGGTCGTTCAGATTTGTGTTTTTGATGTCGTTGTCGATGCTGTCGGATGCACGCTGGAAAGAGGCTTTCGCTCTGTACAACCAGCTGGGACTCAGATCCTTCAGCTGACCAGACTGCAACACAATACACAAACCACGAATGAATGAGCATACATTTGAGTACAAGTTTTAGGTGATGAGCACTGACTTATTTTGTTTCATTAAGTACATCGTTTCTGATCAAACAGGCAAATAGGGATCATTGTATAAAAAGTACTATGGAATCTAGTGCATAGGTTTTAAGGTCATAAGTTTGATAGATATTGGAGGTTTTTCTTTTAAAAAACAAAGACATTTAAGTATATATACAACTCTCATTTAAAAAAACTATTAGTGCCTAGATAGTCTTGTTAACCAGTTCAATTATCAAAATAAAATCATATATTCGTTAATAAGATTTATCATTGCAGCCCAATACTATTAACAGCTACTGTCACTTTACTGCACTCTACCACACTCTTAGTCCATTGTGTGCGCCTAGTGCACTGGTATATAGTAAACTGAAGACAGTTATGTAGATTTTTATATATGCATGCCTTCTTGTTTTTATTCTGCTTTAACTTGTTTGCACCGAGAGCCAAAGTAATTTCCTAGTTTGTGACTTCCTGTTATGCCACGTTCAGACCGGATCATGCGTTGTGTCGACTTTCAATGCAAAGTCAATGGTGACGCGCGTTCGAGCGTCGAACTGCATGTGCGTCTTGGGATGCACGGACTGCACGGTAGAGACGCACGGACTGCGCGGCAAAGGCGTGACAGAGGTGTAGGAGCGGAAAAATCAACGCACACAGGAGATAAATATTGCTGAGCGTTTCCTCGGGACACTCTTACAGCAACCAATCAGAGCCGCAAAGTGGTCACGGGGACATTAGCGGACAGCCAAAACAGGAGCTACACCAGGACTTAACCAGAGTTGATAATGGGGGACATAGTGCTTGTGAACATATGTATTTTCATGCTCCGGTGACTTTATGCAACTGCTTCGAGTATGGCGCACCTCCGTGAACACATTCTGCTGTTATGTAAAGTCTCTGGAAGGTCTCGGGACACAGAGACGCTGCAGAGCTGCATTATTGGAGAAGAACTTTACACAAAAAGCCGCTAGCTTAACTCCGTTAACATCAGAGACTTCTGGTCTGAAGACCCCTGCGTCTGAAAATTAGAGAATGTGCGTCTGGTGCGCGAGAAGTCAGCATTCCAGTGTTGGCGGTGTGAACGCACATTTACTCATATGGCAATAAAAGGATTTTTATTCTTATTCTGAAATGTAAAGTTGGAGACACAGGTGGACAGTCTGACCTGGTTGAGGTCAGATAGGTGATTGTTGATGTCGTGCACTCTCTCATTGAGAAGTTTCTTGTATCCAGTGACGTCAAAGTTCAGCAGGTGGTCATGAACCAGCCTCAGGGCGATTTGTCCAGCAAACTGAGCCGCAATGGCTGCCATAGTGGAGGTCTTTTGGGCTGCTTCATAGTCCAGGTGGCTCTTACTGTCCAGGATGGTGTTGTAGTACTGGTACTCCTCACTCTGACCAGAGGAAATAAGTTTTAAACAGAAGAAAGATGCATTGATAGATTAAGAAAAAAATGTGTTCTCTTTTTTTGTAAAGCACTTTGAGTTTCCTCATGTATGAATAGTGAGCTTTGCATAATGAGTCCTTTACCAAAAATGATACTTACATTCACAGAAATGAAGTGGAAAGAGACAGCTGGAATTCCAAAGCCGGCCAAGAAGGGATAGGCTGGATCGTCGATGGACATAGGACGCATCCTGTTTATGACGTTACGTTAGAATACATTAAAAATACAATAACTGAATTTTGAAATGGCCTGTGCCCATTCTTTTCCCAAGACATTCTGTACTAGTGTTATGATAGAATTACTTTCTGTCAATTTCACTGTAGAGATACATTTTCAATAGTACAGCTAATGTGGCTAGGTTTTGTTAGCTTACCGTAATGAGTGACTAAATCATTGGGATCCTCGGAATGTGTGAGAATGTGAGGAATAATTGTGGACTGCAGCAAAAATGTAACAATGAATACATTCTATGTTTAACAAGACGGGGAAATTGGGTACAGGACCTTTGTATGTGTTCATTGAGTTGACTTACGGGTTCTTTCCAGCTATGTCGCGCACCATGCCGTTTCCAGTGGGACTCTTCACCTGAGTTAAAAAAATACATATATTTCAAGAAGTGCACTTATTAAAATCTGTCAGTCGAGCCATTCAAAGTTAGGTATGCAATAGTGACAAGGTTTAAACTAATCTTGTCACCATTGCAAATTGTAAACGATTAAAACACTCATTTACAATTAAACCCATTAATGTCATATAGGGCTGCAACTAACGATTATTTTAATAGTCGATTAATCTGTCAATTATTTCTTCAATTAATCGGACCACTACGTGGTCTGTAAATAAAAGACACTGATTGGGAGCAACATAGCTGTGCGGATTTTTCACACTAAAAAAACACTAGGGCTGTCAAATGATAACAATTTTAAATCTAGTTAATTACAGCTTAAAAATTAGTTCATCGTAATTAATCATATTTCGAACTAACGGCAAAATGATTCCATATTTTTCAGTAAATGGTTGTTTAAATAGAAAATGCATAGCAGGGGTGCACAATAAGTCAATCGCAATCTACCAGTCGATCGCAAAGGTAGTATTGGAAGATCCCATTACATTGAAAAAAAATTCCGTTTATGTATTTGCGTGTAGACAGATCACCGGAGTTTTGCGTTATCGCACGTCACAGTATGCCCCCAAAACAACAAAACGTGCGACCTCTGATCACTGAAGAAGCATGGATCTTACTGCCTTAAAAACTGTCCATGAACATCCTCGCTCCACATGAGAGAGCAGCAAAGTGGTCACGGGGACTCATGCTCGAAAACAACCAAAACAGGAGCTAAACCAGGATCAAACCAGGGCTGAGGACGGGGGTCAGTCCTTGTAAACATGTCTTCACCCTGAGTTTCTACTATGACTGTAAGTGCCGCTACAGAAGTACCGACGTATGTATCAAAGCTCCGCCCACTTCTGTGTTTTTCCCCAACGCAGGACAGGACGTCAGAGTACGCACATGTTTGGAATGTTATGAATGTCACTGAAAACGCAGATGTTCGGTTATGTGTGGATGCAAATTATTGTATAAATCACGCGGTTTTGACTGACTGAACAAGATGGCGCCTCGTACGGTCGACATGGCTCTTTGCTGCTCTCTTTTTCTTTTGTTTTTACTTTTTAACTGTGCATCTGGCTGTTCCTACACCCGTGAGGAACTTATGAACATCCGACCCACCGTTCCCATGGACCTAATTCCTGTTTTCTTGGCATCTGCGGCTGATTTAGTTCATGTTCTAGCCAAAAAAGTGTGGGCCCGTAAAAGGGGAAAGCGAGGAGGCCTGCTCGTGCGTCTTAGGAGGAGAGGAGCGCGCACGGCTCTCCCCGGCATTTTTCTCTCCAACGTACGCTCACTGGGCAATAAGATGGACGAACTCAGCCTGCTCATGAGAAGAAACAAGGACTTCGCCACATCCTGTGTCCTCTGCTTCACTGAGACCTGGCTAAATGAGCGGATCCCGGACTGCGCTCTGGAGCTGCAGGGCTTTGGGCTGTTTCGCGCGGATCGCCATTGTGCGCTCTCAGGGAAGAGCAGAGGCGGAGGGCTCTGTTTCTACGTCAATACAAACTGGTGTAACGATGTGACAGTGATCTCCAAGCACTGCTCTCCTGCTCTGGAATATCTTTTCATTCATTGTAAACCATATTACTCCCCGCGGGAAATTGTTTCATTCATTCTTGCCTCTGTTTACATACCGCCATGCGCGGACGCGCGCGAGGCTCAGCGCGCACTCGCAGAGCAAGTACTGTGTATGGAACGCTTATACCCGGACTCTCTGATTATTATCCTGGGGGATTTTAATAAGGGAAACTTGAGCCAGGAATTACCCAAATACAGACAGTTTATCAAATGCCCGACCAGAGAGGAGAACACTCTGGATCACTGTTACACCACCGTGCGCGGAGCTTTTCGCGCTGTTCCCAAGCCAGCCCTCGGCTTCTCAGATCACTCCATGATACATCTGGTTCCTGCTTACAGACAGAGACTAAAGCTCTCGAAACCTGCAGTGAGGAGCTCCAAAGTGTGGTCTGATGAAGCTGTGGAAGAGCTGCGCGCATGCATGGAATCTACAGACTGGGACCTTTTCAGAGCTGCCACAGACAGCTTGGATGAATATACGGACACTGTGACGTCATACATCCACTTCTGTGAGGATAGCATCATTCCAACAAGGACCAGGGTCATCTATAACAACGACAAACCCTGGTTCACTGCTAAACTCCGGCAGCTCAGGAAAGCAAAGGAGTCTGCTTTCAGGGAGGGGGACCGCAGCGGCTACAAAGCAGCTAAATATCAGTTCAGGAAAGAACTGAAAGCAGCCAAGTCCCGGCACAGAGAACGACTACAGGAGCAGTTTGGTAACAACGATACTGCTTCTGTCTGGAGGGGCCTACGGGAGATCACCAACTACAAACCCAAAGCCCCCCCCTGTGCTGATGACCACAAGCTAGCTGACGATCTGAACTTATTTTTCAGTCGCTTTGATGCTGCCCCTGACACCTCTCCCTCCCCCACCCCCCACTACTCTAACGACCCACCCATCAGCCCTGCCCCCAGCCTAACAATAGCCGCTAAAGAGATTAAACAACTCTTCCTGAGGCTGCACCCCCGCAAAGCTCCTGGCCCGGACCACGTGTCTCCGGCCACTCTGAGACACTGCGCCAGTGAGCTTACTCCTGTGTTCACGGACATTTTCAACTCCTCTCTGCAGTCCTGCCATGTCCCGGCCTGCTTCAAATCCTCCATCATTGTCCCCGTCCCGAAGAAGCCCAGGATCACAGGACTCAATGACTACAGACCTGTAGCACTTACGTCTGTCGTCATGAAGTCATTTGAACGCCTGGTTCTCTCCCATCTCAAGTCCCTCACCTCCCCCCTCCTGGACCCCCTGCAGTTCGCCTACAGAGCCAACAGATCTGTAGACGACGCCATTAACCTGGCCCTCCACCACATCCTACAGCACCTGGACTCCCCGGGGACCTACGCCAGGGTCCTGTTCGTGGACTTCAGCTCTGCCTTCAACACAATCCTGCCATCCCTGCTCCAGGACAAGCTCTCCCAGCTCAACGTGCCCGATTCCACCTGCAGGTGGATCACTGACTTCCTGACGGACAGGAAGCAGCGAGTGCGTCTGGGGAAGAATGTCTCGGACTCTCGGATTATAAATACAGGAGCCCCACAGGGCTGTGTTCTTTCTCCCCTGCTCTTCTCCCTGTACACCAACCACTGCACCTCCAGCCACGACTCCGTGAAGCTGATCAAGTTCGCGGACGACACCACCCTCATTGGACTCATCAACAACGATGAGTCCGCCTACAGGAGGGAGGTGGACCGGCTGGTGTCCTGGTGCAGTGGTAACAACCTGGAGCTGAACGCCCAGAAGACAGTGGAGATGATTGTGGACTTCAGGAAGAGCACTGTCCCCCCGCCCCCACCCTCCGTGATGGACTCCCCCATCACCTCTGTGGAGTCCTTCCGTTTCCTGGGCACCACCATCACCCAGGACCTCAAGTGGGAGCCGACCATCAGCTCCCTCATCAAGAAGGCCCAGCAGAGGATGTACTTCCTGCGGCAGCTCAGGAAAGCCAAGCTGCCTGCACAGATGTTGGTGCAGTTCTACACGGCCATCATCGAGTCCATCCTCACCTCCTCCATCACCGTGTGGTTCGCTGGAGCCACAGTCAGGGACAAACAGAGACTACAGCGCATTGTGCGCTCTGCAGAGGAAGTGATCGGCCGCAGCCTTCCATTGCTGCAGGACCTGTACGTCGCCCGAGCTCGAGGCCGGGCTGGTCGTATCACAGCCGACCCCTCTCACCCTGCACATGGACTATTCCAACCACTCCCCTCAGGCAGGAGGCTGCGGTCCATCAGGACTAGAACCTCCCGCCACAAGAACAGTTTCTTCCCCTCTGCTGTTGGACTCTTGAACACTTCTTAACCTGTCCCCCCGCCCTTTATAAAGTCACTTTACTGCCCATCATACGTCACTTTACTTCACTGTACTGCTGTCACCTTACATTGTGTGCACCATGTGCACTTGTATATTGTAAATAGTAACTGTAACTCTATTTTAAATTTAAATTTATTCTTTAGAAGTGTTTTTTATTCTTATTTTTATTATCTCTTTTTGACTGTTGCACTGAGCCAAAGCAATTTCCAAGTCTGTGACCTCCCGTTACTTACGTTGGCAATAAAAATGATTCTGATTCTGATTCTGATTCTGGTTTTGCATGTACATCAACATACATTGTAGATATAATGAATCCTCAATATATTTAGAAATAAATATATGTTTTGCATTTTTGTAGTAGGTAGATCATTTTGACTTGATCATTTTAGAAGTAGCTCGCATGCTGAAAAAGTGTGAGCACCCCTAATGCATGGTATATAGTAATAGCATAGTGTACACATGTAGTGTATTTGTTTAGGAGTAGTGGACATGTTTGATTAACTTAAATTATATTGAAAATGAATTGCATTTTGGTTTTTATTGTCCTTTGTATCATGATCTAAGAAGCCAATTATTTTGTAAACTGATGTTGCTGAACTTTGGTTTGAACTGTCCGACGAGGAAAGGCTTAAAGTAGTACTAGAATTTAATATGCTGCTATCCAGAATATATAACTATAATATGTGTTTATAATATTTCGGGTGTTCATTTTCACATGTTCAGATGAATTATGTTAAAAAAAACTGCTTTGAAGCATAGACTGTATATATTAACGGACAGAGTCACGCCTATCTCCGCCGTTCATAGGAGTTGGCCATGAAAAGTGCTTTCATGGAGCAATCCAAGAAGGCCGCGAGTGGTCCCGCCCACAAGAAAATGGTGGAAAAACGCATCTGTGCATGCGTCAGCCGGCGCAGCTCCATTCATTTGAACGAGAGACTTCAAAAATTCCCCGCGAGTAAACTAGAGTGGACCAAAAAAATTCACCCCCCTCAGCATTGACACACATGTGGAACGGAGCATTGGGCCAAGAGCCAACTTTTGGTCCATCCTGTAAAGAAGTTTTTGAGAGGTCTGCCA